ATCCCAGTGATGGCATTTGACGTGAAAACCTACAGTAAGGTCATTTAGTACGGTTTACTCAGGGTGCTGCCACATATTGTGGTTTAAAACATGTTGACTTGCCACTTGTATATCAGAAACTAACTTGTTAGTGGGGACAAAGGTCATCCCGATATCAACGAGACGGAGACTGCATTCAAGAGATGGCTTGGAGGCAAAGAGCCTTCAACTCGAATGCGGTACAGAGAAGGACGCAAGAAGTCAAAAGAAACGGAACCTGTCTCCTGGGAAGAGTTTGTTGAGCTGCTGCAGTAGAATTTCCAGAAGGCAAACCGTCCGCCACCTACGACCTGGAATGAGAAGCGACCTAAAAGTTTTGAAGGACAAATTTCGACACCCTCTTACCGGAGACGAGGCTATTCTTCGGCGACAGGGAGAGTATTTTGAGCATTCACGGGAAGCCTCCTCTGAAGAACAGCATACAACGGATATTAATCGTTCACTTTCAGATTAAGTCGCAGAAGCTGTGAAAAGCTTGAAAAATGCCAAGGCTGTTGGAATCGATTAAATCTGTCCTGAAATGCTTCAAACTTTAGGCAAACAAGGTTTGTGCTGGCTTACACGTGTCTGTCAAACTACAGTAGCAACTGGTAATAATTACCAATGACTGGAGAAGGGGGTGTGTTGCCCCTGTTCAGGGCATTCCCATATTCAACGTCTCGGAAAAACTATACACAAAGGTGTTTTAGAGGCGCCGCAGAGTAGCGGGAATCGTCCTAACGTCCAAGAGCAGTTCGCGGCCGATGGTGTCGAGCTGAAACCTCGTTTGATCAGCTTATCTCCTTACATCAGAGTGTTGAGAAGTGTAGGAGTTTGCCGGTCTGGTTTACACGCACGTCGTTGAACTGGAGTAAGCCTGTGACCGAATCCCACGCAACAACCTATGGCGTGCCTCAAGACAGACGGGATCTATGGTCAGTTGTTGCTAGCCGTCCAGAGCAAATGGCATTAAACCGAGACGTTTCACAGGGGGCGCTGGTTTCCATTTGGCTGCTTTCTTTTCCTATCCTGCTTGTGTTATTCAGGGCACTGAGGCGAGTATACCAGCATAGCTGGAGACGAAAAGGTTCTTTTTGTTGACGCCCTGTTTTTGTTGGCATCTACCGAAACTGATCTCCAGCGCTCTCTGGATAGGTCGCAGTCCAAGTGCGACATCGCCGACATGCGCGTTAACTGCGCGGAGCCAAGACCTTGGCCTTCTCGTTCTCCTACCTGTTTCGCTCTGGGGCTAAAGGGAGATGAGTGCCATAATTTTCAGCATGTTCGTATGAGTGTTGTCGCTCTTATGTAGAGAGGTAGTATGGAACCATGATTTTGCGTTTCGATTTTTTGTTTGGTAAAGGATGGTTAATAAAAACAAGCTTTTCACTTTCGCCTACATCATCATAAGGCCGTGTCGTGTTTCATTTGATTGACGTCTGATTTTATTTCAGTTTTCTTGTCGAAGCTGTGTTCGGAATCGAAAAGCGCCACATTGCCAGCGTCATTACTCTGTTACCTACCGTTTCTTAAGCCGTCTGCGATGGAAGCCAAACAGATCTATCTCAGCGCCATTACGAAGGTATGGTTTTTTAATATTTGCCGATGCCAAATGGCATTGAAATTTCCATTCTACTTGTAGGCACTGACGACTGTGGCGTACGCAAGCGAACAGTCATTTATTGAATGTCGCCAGTTGTTGCTCTACCTATTAATCCACCCTGCTATCACCGGTGAGGAGAAAGAGTCTGTTGAAGGTGCGTTTTCATTTTTCATGTTTAAAGTAAATTAACGATGCCTGTTGCTCTTTACAGTAATCGCTCGAGAAATATTTCCTAACGTGTCTTGCGCAAATCAGAACGCCCTAGCCAACCTCCAAACCGTCAGCGGAAACTTTGTAAGTTGTGGATCTATCTTTTATGTGTATTTCATGTATGCTCTATATATTTATATCCATAGGTTGAATATTTGGTTGGTTGTAATACTGACAACAGCACAAAACTATTTATTTATGCACAGCGCAGTCTTAATGGTCATCAGCGGATGATTGACCAGTACCGATGCTTCGGTCAGTTCTCATGGGCGTTGGTCATCTTCAAAAGTTGTTTTTGTCGGTCGCAGCTGTGCCAACCGTAAGAACAGCTGCGAACGACAAAAACAACTTCTGAAACTAAACCACCTTCCTACTTTGAACAAGGTCTGCGAGATACGAGTCGAAGCGTCGATGATTCATCTGATTGACCATGTTGTTTGCATGTGTTTGTGTGTATGCATGAGCCGTGTTTTATGCTGTTTTTTCGTATGTCATTGTCGCATATCTGTATCTTTGTTCCAGCCGTTGTCAGCACTTTGTTTTGTACTCTGTAGCTTTTGCTTCATGTTTAGATTAACGGTGCTTTTTCTTCGTCCGATAATGATGGAACGGCTTCCGATGCGTTGTTTTTGTCACTACCTCCGCAGGACACGACTTCGCCGAACCTCAGTCTTCCGCCGCCTCGCGCAACGGTTCAACGTAACTGCAACAGCCGCCCGTGCGCCGCGCCCTGCACTAGGTTACCGTTCAAGAATGCTCAAACGATCGAACGAGCGCAGTTGTTTCGTGCGACCGCCGGTAATGACTGTTCGCCCATTCCTTCGTCGTTCTTTAGCTGGTTCGATAGATTTTTTATCTAAGTTTCCTTCCTCTTCTAGCTGTGTGCTTTGGGACACAAACAGTGCAACGGCAACAAAACAGAAATAGTGTTTGTTTTTACCATTAATCAAAAAAGAGTGTCTGACAATAGCACACACTTAGGATTTCAGGAACCCGTTCCCTATATGTATAGATCATTTATTGTGTGCGTATTCCTTTATTCGTTTCGACAATTAATTTGTACATTATGACTTAAGTGGTTATAGCCACGATCTGATGACAAAGTATCTTTTTATTGTAGACATTGGGTGCATGGTGAGGCGGTAAACACGGCATCCAAAATGACATCAGTAGCTGCCATGACAGGTTCTACTATACGGTTGGATTAGGTCTAGATTTTTTTAAATCTTCATCGAACATTTATGTTGGTTTCCACTCTAGCGCCTTGAGAGAAATAATTTCGTTTTTCATGAATACATACGTGCGATTCGTGGTGTTGTGCAAAATATATGTTGATGAATCCTATAGGTTGCTTTTCTCCTGACGCGGCAAAGCGATCAGGGAATCTAGGCTCTCCGAATGTATCCGGTTGGTCAGCAGGCAAGGAGAACAAGTATTCGTTCGAAGGTCAGTCCGAGCGTTCTTCGTCATTCGTCGCCTCTATGTCAGAGGATAACAGCCGCAAGAACAGCGTGTCGATTGCCCAGCACGCGCCGTCAGACTGTGTCTTCGCCAATAGTCAGTATTCGATCAAGTGAGCCACTCCTTTATTTTTTGTCTTATCCGTCTCATTGATTCCGCTTTCGTTATTATAGACATTCGTCCAGTCCTGCCTCTGGCCCCTTTGTAGAGAAGGCCAATGAAAACGTTCCCGTATCCTCCGACTCGCTACGATGCATCCGCAACACGTTTACTGAAGCTAACAGCGGAATGAAAGGTAAACTTGGCTTTGCCCTCGACCTTTTGCTCTTTTCATGAGTTTTTGCCAGTTAGCCTCATGTGACCCAAGTCTGTTGAAAGGGATTATCTTTGAGTGAGCACTGGTACTCGTTGTGTTACTTAGTTGTCGTACGTTTGTTTTACGTTTCTTTTGTCATTTTTATGATCAACGAACTATCTGCATTAGCCCAGTAACCACTGGCTTTTTTCTTTTCAGATGTGCCTTTGTGGCTTAAAACTTTGCGACTGCATAAATACGCGCATCTGTTTTCGAAGTTGACCTACGACGAGATGATGATGTTGAACGAGGAAATGTTGGAAGATCAGGTATGTTCATTGCCTGATTTGCTTGGTTCTTGCGAGACGTTGTCATTATCGTCTTCAGGGCGTCACCAAAGGCGCACGCCACAAAATCTCAGTGAGCATTGCTAAGCTGAAAAACCGCGTCAGTCTGATGAAGCAAATGGAAAAGGTGTGTTGTTTTTGCTCTTCACTTTTTTCTGCTGCGTCACTTTGTTGTTTTCTCTGCTTTTCAGGACTTGTTTGAAGGCGATAACTTGAAGTCCTGTCTGAACGAGATGAAATCGATCATCTGCTCACCGATCCGCAAATATTCGCCTCCTTCGCAAAGCCATCTGGATCTTCAGCAGGTTGGCATTCTTGTTTGCGAGTTGACGTTGCTCTTTATTCATTATTGATATTTTTTCTAGGCGCAGATCGACGGATTGGACCTTCTTCCAGACGAGGTTGACGACGAGAATATCCCCGCTCATTTTACCCGTGTTCTAGGAAAATGTAATTTTGTCGCATTTGCCTGGGTTTTTTCTGTATAATGTTTAACGAATCTCGTTTAGTGTGCGTCCAGGTTCTGGTAACTTCCGGTATTGAAGAAGAATGTGCCACAACTTGTCTACATATCTTAGAGCGTTGCTTAGTCCATGAAGTAAGTCGTCGTTCAATTCACAGTTTCTCACGCCTTCTGTTATTGTTGTTTAACGTACTTGTTTTTCTTGCGTACAGGCGTTTACGGACGCTCAGCGGCTTCGTTGCTTGCACTTCAAAAATCAACTCAGAAGAATGTGGAATTTTTCCAGACGGTACACCAATGGAAAGGCAACTACGGGCATGTGGTACAAAGACCGACGCCAGGCAAATCTTCACAAACATCGTGTTCTAAAGCCGGTCCAACACAATGCCTCCGTTGCCGCGGCTGCTCTGAAACGAACCGATGCTGCTGAGGTGCGGTCACTTTTACGATGACCGCGTTTGCTGACCATTTTTGCTTATTCGATTTTTGTCTGCAGGTTAGGCAGCCTAACGGCTGTGGTCACTACGGCGAGTCTAAGAATGGTATGCTCGGCATTGCACCTTCGACTATCGCCTACCACAACTACACAAACATGCTGTTTTCTGGAAGTAACGGATTCGCGACTTCTGGCGATGGCTTTTTCCGCATGAAGGTGCGTGCCGCCGAATGTCGTATTTTTTCATTTTTCAGTACCTTCATCTTGTTCATAAGTATGAACCAGCCCCACATTGAGTTTGTGCACTGGTGCAGTTTACAGCTGACGTTTGGTTATTAATTTTATGCTATTGTTTTCAGCGTTAAGGCAATAAAGTGTTATCACGCCAGTTAGTAGCAGTTATGAATTGTTTGAACTCTCTTTTATTATAACTTTTTCTAACATTGCTGCTTTTTTTTCCAGAAGCTTCCTGTGCCTCCAGAGCGGAAGTTCGCGCCCTCGCTGTGCACCAATTCTCAGGCGACAATATTTCCGTATCCACCAGCCGGTAACGAAGCCAGCTCCAAATCTGTGCGGGCGATGGGCAGCGGACGCGGCTGTAGTGAGTCGTTGTCTTATGCCCCTTGTTCGCTCGCCGAAATGACTAGTCAGAATTCTTGGATAGCGCCATTCGTGGCAAAGGACAGCGTTCCGCTGGAACAGTCTTCCTTAGG